CTTAATGGCCGGTTTGTTCGGTCAGTCGCTTGGCTGGTTCCTGGAGAGTGGGTGGGTGGATGGGGGGGGGGGGGCAGCAGGATGCGGTGGGGTCAATTTGGAGTGATCCGGAGTGCGTGTGCGTGCGTGCGCCAGTCGCGCACGCACGGGGAAGCCGGGGGAGCAGCCAGAACCTGACATGTGGGCCCTATCACCGAGCCATCTCCTGAATGGTGGGGTGTGGTGTGGAGGAGGAGGAGGAGGAGGAGGAGGCGGCGGCGGGCGGGCGGGTGAGCGGGTGGAGGAAGCGGCCAGTGCTGCCATGGGGGTTCCTTTGTTGCCGCCGCCAGTCAAGACCTGCGACTTGCCCCGTCCGCACGGAGCTCTGCTGAGGCAGCGGAGGCAGGCGCACCGGTGGCCACGACCGCTGCCGGGAGGAGGAGGGCTTGTCGTGGCTTCTGACGGCAGAGGGTTGCTTTGCCCCTGCTGCCCCGGTTGCTGCCGCCTTCCTCGCCGGTGACCGTTGCTGGTTGTTCCAAGCCGTGCTCCTGTTTGGAATTTGCTGGGATCGGTCCGAGAGGCAAGTTTTTTTGTTTTGTTATTTTTTTCCTTTCTTCAAATGTGTTGCCGTAAAATTCGTATATATATTTTTTGTTTGCAATAAGAAGTTGTTTATTCGGTTCATTGATTTCGTGAATCGAAATTACAATAAGAATAATATACAGCCCTTTGTCAAGCCATTGCTGGATGCCGTGTTGGTCGTGGGTTTTTGCCGGAGCCTGCTTTGTGATGTTGGTTGAGGGTCGGTTCAAATGTCACTCTCCCGTGTCCAGCACGTGTGTCCAGGATCGTGGGTCTCTTTTGATGCCCGCGTACGTCGCTGTGCATTGGCGCAGCGCTTGTTTCGGGACGCAGCTGAAACCTTTTCCGCTGTGTGGCTTTGAGGTTTTACGGCGCGTTTCTGCCGACTTGGCACGGGAGAGTTTATCGCGTGAATCTTGCCAGAGCGTTTCACTGCGGCGACTGCGTCGGGGAAGCTGCAACGCGAATTTAAATAATTTTTGCTTCGTGTGTAGTTCGCGCAGGGTTCCGCCTTGACCGCTTGAATCGTCTGTCCTTGTCGAGCATCACGGCTGAACCCAAACTGCCGTGGCCATTGTTCATGGGCTCGGTAGCCTCGGGGCAGGCTCGGCAAACGGCAGCCAGAGAGGCCGCCGCCACCACCACCACCAATTACAGTCGGGGAAGCCGGTGAGATTACAACCTAGCGCGGCGAGGAAGCGTCCCGGTAAACACTCCAAAGAATCCACCGGGGCTCGGCAACTTGTCACAACATGACACCAGTTGCATACCTGGCCAGTCCGCACACACCTCGGCACGGAGGTGGCACCTGGGTTATAGTAGATAGGCTTACCTCGACCAGACAACAACTTTACCGCCGCTTCCAACAATGCGGTTCCTTCCGCTGCAGGAGCTGACACTCGCCGATGGGGTTGGGAGTGGTGCGTGTGTTCACTGGCGGAGCCAGTGGGGGGGAGGGGGCACGGATGATTGAGGTTTATTAGTAAAAAATCGGCATTTTGCGACCCCCACTGCCACTGTGAAGCATATTAATATGTGCCAGGGACTCTATGAGATGATAGGACAATAGCCTGAGTCCATACTTGGCAATAAGTAACGGCAAAGCAGTTATAAGTGACTCAGAATTGTGCGCAGTCGCGTATACAGTACACGACTTCCCTGAAGGTATTCACCTTCAGCGAGCGCGATGCCGATCACACACGGTTTGAATTCGACCCTCGATCGCACACGCATCGAATAAAAAGCAAGGGACAAGTCCTTACTTACTAACAACTCCCCCCACCTGAAAATCCTGGCTCCGCCATTGCGTGTGTTGCTTTGGAGTGTCGGTGCAGTCTGGGTAGGCACGCATAATATAGCAACCCACGGCTGGATGGTGGGTCCATACATCCCATGTGAGCCGTGGGGGCTGTTTGACCGCACTGGGCGGTGCGGATTGGCGAAAGCGGAGAGCATAGAATTACAGTACAACCAATGGTGTTGTTGCACTGCCCTCTGCCGCGCACGTCGCTCCACAGCCCATAACACCTGTCTTTGTGTCGTGGTTGACCATCCAAGTGCTATCCAGGATCAAGCCTCTGTTTCGTTTCTGAGATCTGATGAGATTGGGGTGCACTGCGGGTGATTTGGCCACAGGCTGTATCGGTTTACAGTGTGAATAGTTTTACAAGGCAAGTTGTGAGAGTAGGGTTTGTTTCTGTTGCTATTGCCTCTAAAAATAAATAAAAATCTCAGACTTCCTCTCAAGGGGGATCCTCGAGTCAAGACAACCCACACGGCCACCGATGAGCACGAGACCGAGTCCACGCACAGCTTGGTCTTCTCTCCCCTCAGTTGGTCACAGTTTCAGGGTAAAATATAAACCTTCAGTACATAATCGTACAAACCCAAGTCTCTGTTGGTTTTTGTGTCGAACCACAGAGCTATCAAAATAATCGGATTCCAGGGCAAGGGTCAAGGTGACGAGTAAACACGTAACTGGGAGTTTGCAAACAACAACAACAACAACGAAAGTGAATATGGCAAGGATTTCCAGCCGGGACACACGGCAATGAGATAACGCAAATCACGTGAACAAGGTCACCGTTGACGGCCGAGGAAAGCGCTCGGTCAGGATCGACCCAAGTCCAACGCGGTTCCTAGATGGATCGTCCGGAACGTCCAGACTCCAAGTGCTTTGTCACGGACGCAGGGGCTGGGGCCTCAGCTCGCAGGCCTCGGACACGGGCCCCGAGCGGGCCCGCAAGGGTCGCAGACCCGCAGGGCGCAGACGCGGGTCGAGCGGGGCGGCACACAAATTTATCCGGGAGGAATCCAATGAGCTACGAAGTGCTTTCTCACAGACGTTCAATTTGTTAAACTCGCGCAATATTTACGCTCGTTGATCGGTGGAGAAACTGGCAGCCCTTTTTACGTTATGTAAAGCCGGTGGTCGGCTCTCTGTGTAGCGCGTGCCTCGTCTCCGTAGCCGTGTTTCAAGCTGCGATGGCTTTGTGCTGCGGCAAGGCTTGCAGTGAAAATTCTTCTCCCGGTGGCAGTTTTGTCAGTTTTGTCTGTGTGGGTTTTGACGGCTTTGTGTGTATACGGGCGTGTGCCTGTGTGTGCCTGCCCGCTCACGGCCAACACCAGTGACGAGCATCTGAACCGCTCCTGGGCCTCTCCTAGGTTGACTCGGACTCAAATGAGTACCTGGTGTGATGTATGAGCATCGCCACTAGGGAAACAAAGGCGGCCGGGCATGGTGTTGGCCACCCACCCCCTTGTGTGCCGTGCCAGCCTTCATAGGTGCTCGCTATAACAGCACATGCCCCAACAGTCTGTTAAGGCTACACGGGGGATCTTTGTGTGCATGCCAAAAAATGCTTCTGTTTTTCACTTCTAAGGAAAACCGATTGAGCGTGCATTGTTTGTCGGTGTGCGTGGCGACATGTAGGTGTGTGTGTGTGTGTGCGAGAGCGCCAATATGTGTAGGTATCGGAATGTGCATGTGGGCTGCATGTGTGCGTGAAGGAGAGCGCTTGCATCTGCAGGTCGCAGAGGAGCGCTGAAAGAGAAATGAAACTGCTCCGGTGCACTTCTGGCTTGGCACACCATGCGAGGTAGAGGCTGTGGATTTGTGGCAGCCGGGTCTGGCCGTTCAGCTCTTCTGGAAGTTCTTTCTTGGCCATCGGCTGCCAGGCGCCTCCTCAAACCCCAACGGACGTATAATTGAGGGAAGGAGCTCAAAAACATTGATTTTATTTCGCGAATTCTGCCATTGTCACGGCTCCTAGGTCTGTGGGTTTCATGCGGGGAACCCACCGGTAAACACCATGGTGGGTTTTAGGCATCGTGAGTGAGCGTGCTTTCCTGCACAATCAGATACCATCAACAAAAACACTAAGTAAATATTTTGGCAACGGTTAATCGGGCAGCGACATTCAGACCCAGACATTTTGTAAATAACTGCCTCCCCAGCGCGATCTGGAAGCCCAACTACACTATTCGGAGCACAGTGCTGTGAGAATCGCCACATCCTAGAAGCCTGCACAGTGCTGGGCATGGTCAGAGCCCACATAGGTGGACTCGGCCTTCTGTTGCACTCCTGATAGGAACTGACCTGGAATGTCTCCGTGTGCAAGGTGCATTCTGCTGACACCACAGGTCTTCTTTTCCAGCATCTGATTAGATCTGATACGAGGATGAAGGCCAAGGCAAAGTGCCCAATCGCACGCTCGCTTGATCTCTCTCTCTCTCTTTCTCCCGCCGGTAATTTTCCGCAATTGCCACATGCTGCTCCTTATTGTTTGAAATAAATGCCTCCTAAAACAACATGTACAAGCACAAAACAATTGCGCAATGCTGTGTCCTTTGTTTTGGGGTACCCATATCATCTACACAGGGCTTAGTTTCTCTTGGGCTGGTGAGGGGCGAGCCCGGGACTGGTTCGGCTTTAACTTCCCACTGGTCTTAACCAAGGCCCGGGAATGGAACTCGGGCCGCCAGGCTCACGGCGCAGCGCACGAACTGCTGCGTCGTGAACCCACTGCTCTCATTTCGTAAATGAGAGTCAGAAAATTCCTCTCGGTGAGAAGTTTGTGTCAAGGTGAAGCACACTCGTGCGGCCGTGTCTCTGCTGAGGCTCGCCCCAGGTTCGGTTGACGTGGAGGTCGCGTGGGTCTTATTGGGTGTGGTGTCACGGTTCGGACTAATTGAGGCTGACCGAAGTGGTTTTTCGAGGTGAGCGCTGAGCTGGCACCATGCAGCCGCCTGTGAAATGAAGCATTCATCATCATCATCGATTTAAAAACTTTAACGCACAAACCTACACGAGAGGTGTGGGGTACGAGCCCTTCATCTCGCGGTGCCTGCAGCGCAATTGGGGTAACATTGGAAATACTCCTTTTGGACATTTTCTCAAAGCAGTGTGCTGCTGCTGCTGCTATTCTTGTTGTCCGCAGACCGGGAGTTTGTCCGCGAATCTCCCGCCGTGCCTCGTGGACGCGGAGGGCGACCCCGACGCGATGGCGACCCGGGGCCGGCGCGTGGGCGCCATGGAACCGCCGGCGTTCGTGCTGCCCCCTCGGAACGTACGCTCCACGCTGTGGGGTCGTGCCCTCTTCAGCTGCACGGTGTGTGGCGTCGCTCGCACGGCTCACGGCGCTTGTTGGGGTTTATTTTGCCAGGCGCTCGATATTCTTCGTCGGATATTTTATAGGACTCCGTTTTTTTTTTACTCTATTGACTTATTAGTCTCATTCGTATCGCGAGGTACACTGGATGTGGAGTGCCAGGGCACGGAAATATTTATCAGGTCACCAACCCGAGGGAAGTTTCCCCCTGTGTTTCATTGAAGTAAAATGCAAAATACCTTCAGTCTGTTTTTAAAGGTTCGGGTGATCAGAAGCGGTAGACGAGTGTTCATCAATTAAAGTTGATTATTACAGCCACGGTACGTTCATGAAATCGAGTGTTTTAAAAACTGTCAATTCGTCAAGAGCGCAGATCCATATTAATTGTTACCTTTCAGAAAATGACAAATTCACCAAAGATACAAAAGACAAGGAAACAACACAAATGAGATGGTAAAAATTTGACAAAAAAAAATAATTGTTGAATTGGTTGGTGACCCCCCGACATGGGCCGATCAGCTGGCTGTGTGTGTGTGTGTGATTGAAGGTTTAACATGCCCACTGAGTGACAGGGACGATGGTAACTATTGCACCATCGCAACCAAACACGGGTGTGTGGTTGTAGCCGATGGTGGGAGCGGCAATCTGCGGTGAGTCTGGTCGCGCGACCGGGCGAGTCTGGGCAGGCCCGGACCGCCACTCGGCAAGCGCGCAGCTCGCGTCAAGGATGGCCTCGTCCTTTCGCCAACGCCAGGAAGATGCTGCGCTGAGCAGCCCAGCTCTGGTGGTGTTACCCTCAAGTGGCAAGCGATGCAGCTTGCCGAAACAAACCGGCAAGCTGAAAAACCAATGGGATTCCGATGCAGATCCGGTTTTCGTGGAGATGGGAGCTGAAGTTTCTGCTTCAGTGCGTGTGGGCGCACATGCAGGCTTGTGCTTGCGTGTTCACCAATGGCTCTTTTTGTCACCACCACTCACGGTTCTAATGAGAGACTCTGTCGCCAACCGGTTTTGTAAATTGTTACCAGAAACGCGCGCCCGCATTCTGCTGTTGTCTAGTCGTGCCGTCGTCGTGCGTGGCTGATGAAGGAAGCTTCTGCGTGCCAAACATTTTTTTTCGCGCGCTAAATAGTTTCTGGACGATTATACGGGTTTGTTTACCAAAAGCAAAAAGATTGATTTTGAGTGAAAGCCAAGCACCCCTTGGCTGCGAGCCATAGTCCTACTTATAGCCGCTTGTAAACAACGTAAATGGCGGGGATGTTATTCGATGGGGATGCGAGTTTGCCCAAGAGATGGGACGGCAAGCATCACTGCAAGAAGGCGACTACATGGCAGTACAATAATTAGTTTATTTAAATGTAAGTCACTTTTGCCTTCCAATTTAAGCGCAACGAGAGCATAAGGTGACCGACTTCCCCCGCATCAGGGTAAAAACAGCTGCAGTTGTCTGTGGCCTGTCATCTTAAGTTTCATGCTGTAATCAGAGTGTGCGCTGGCAAGTCTATAGAATGTTGGGGAGGAGGGGGGGTGCGGTGGGTTTTGGGAGACACCGAGCTCCCTGGGTTTACGACTTCGCGGGGAGGAGGGGGGAACGGCACGTCGGTCCTCTCTCAGCACTGGCCGCTATTTAGCCCAGAGGATCGGTCGACGTTCTACTGCCCCCCCCCCCCCACCGGCCACAAATCACGAACCCCCGCAGGCACTGAGAAGACGACGACGATGGTGGCAGTCGGCGCCCGTGGCTCCGTTCATCCTTGAGCTTCGCGGATCGGCCGTGCGAATCGCGGCCTTGATCCCGTCGCTGGTGCCTCCTTCGGGCGAAGGCTTTCGGTGGCCCGTGTCGAGGATGTCCTGTGATCGCTTCTCCAGATTGTTCCGTTCTCCTGCACGATCAGGACCCCCCCCCCACCCCTCCCACCACACCTCTGGCTCCAACCCAGCAATGCCCTCCTTCTGGGTCCGTTCTCAGAACTGCAGGGGACACTGGCCCAGCCCCAGCAGTCAGTCATATGGACATCGCCTAAGATCTGTGCTGTTTGATACAGAGCGTGGCATGCTTCCAATATACATTGTGTATTTCTATATATGTGGCGTTGTATCTGATAGATACATACATACACAGTGTATGCATATGTGTGTATCAGATAGATATAAACGCATATGCCTACACTGTCTGTTTATGTATATAAGAGATATGACACCTGCATATAATTTAAATTATATATAGGCATCATGATGCCGTCCGTATCACTCTTTCCCATGTTGAATATAATTTGCATAAACGTATTTGGCACGGGTAGAAAATATATTTAGGCTTGAGACATTTGCCTACGGAATGAGACTGTAGGTTAGTCAATTACTTACCTAAGGAATGCTGCCTGAATAATATTTGGCAAATTCTATTAATGAGTTTTTTTTTTACGTGGGAGAAACCCAACTTACCCAGAAAATACCCACAAGCATGGACATGCAACGTTCATGGGGTTTCACACGGATGGATTCAAGAATGCACTCGTGTCTTGCTATCTGCTGTCCACATCCGGAGCCGAAGCTTACACTTCCTGATGCTCCAAAGCGGTGATCTGCCTTCCAAGTAAAAACTCTGCTTAAAAGCTGCTGAGCTTCTGAACTTGTGCAGTCAAAATACTCGCCCAGATGCAATGAGCTCCGGGGCGCTCGGAGTGATTTGGTCGTGGATGGCGGTAATGGAGGATCAAATTTGATGGAAAATGTCTCTGCATTCACTCCTGCCTCTTTCCACCCCTTGCCTTCCACATTTTTTTGCTTCCGGCCCCTCGGCGCTCAAAAACCAAAATGAAAGCAAAAGCACTCGATTGCTTGTGCGCACTTTCTTAACAAAAAGTGAACCTTCTTAAAAACCGCTGTCGTTTTTTCACCGCGCGTTTTTCTCACCCCCCTCCCTGCTCCCCGTCGCTTTCTCGCCCCCGCCGCCAGGTGGGCGGGAGTCCTGAGCCCACGGTCACCTGGTGGCACGACGGGGTGGCCCTGACGAGCGGCGGCCGCGTATGTGCCCAGCGCTCGCGCCCCGGGGCCTACAGCCTGGAGATCCGAGGCCTCGTGGCCGCCGACGCCGGCCGGTACGAGTGCGAGGCCTCCAACGACGCCGGCAGCTGCCGCCTCGCGGTGCAGCTCACCGTCGAGGGTGAGGGTTGCCTTGGGGCATTGCCGCCACCGCTGGCTACTGCCTACGCCACCACCCCCACCACTGCAGCCACAAACCGCCTTCGGCGTATTCATGAGGGTCAAATTGAACGTGGATCGTCGGGTGTCAACTGCGAGGGAAACTTCCTCCTGTATTGGTGAGGAACGGAGCGAGGTTTGATCGAGGCGACTGTGCCCGCGTTGCCATAGCGATGCTCGACAACGGTGGCATGGTTGTCGAGTACGCAGACGGCGTAGCTGCTCTCTGCACCAGAACCCGTGGGAACCGGGCTACCCATCTTCCCCCGGAAAATGCACTCTTGTGTACGCACGTAGAAATGGACGAACCCAATAGCAGATTGTACACGGACAGCAGGCAATAGACAGCATCCTCTGCAACTAGATCGGACAATTGATAATTATGGATCGGCTGAATGTGCCAGGCACACACGGGCAACACCGCCAACAATCCTGCACCGTTTCAGTCCAGCCCGTGGACCTAGCTTGACGTGGGGCTATGTTGGGCATCGATGGCTCTGCTGCAATAATTTCTGGCTATACTAGGAGAGGGTGGGTGGTGGTCGAGCGGGGTGGGGGTTCAGCAGGCAGGGGGGTGGGGGCAGTGGGGGGTGAGGGGAGGGGAAGTCGTGCTGCTTGTCAGCAGAGTTGGCAGTGAGTGTACTCCTGTCAGCGTAAAGGGCATGTTGGGGGCGGGAGGGAGTTTAGGGAGGGGAAGGCGGTGGGGTATCAAACGGGTCGCGTAACGAGGTTGTGGTGACGAGGTGCTGCTCCGTGTAACCCCGCAGATCCGAGGTCTCCGACGTCTCCGACGTCTCTGACATCACAGCAACAAGAAGCCAAGGAGCCCAGGTAATGAGACGGAGTCCAGGCCGAGTTGGCGCGAGCGAGCAGGTCGCTGTGTGCGTGGAGTACGCGCGGTGTGACCCGCATCCTTTTTCGCACTCGCTCTTGGTGTCAGAATTATGACCAACTCTTCGCTGTGCTCTAACATTCACAGACCAGTCGGCGTTTCACTGGTTCTCTGACCCGGTGTTTAGTCTGCGCCTCGCTCCCAATCATTATCGAGTCCGTGTTCCACTGTCTCGCTCATTATCTAGGCCATCGGTATTTCCTGTGTGGGTCATTCGGCCGCAGTATACCACGCATGTGGGCGTGAAAGACAAATGTGGCCGCCCCATTCACCCGCAAGGCCCCGGAGAGGACGGCTGCATTGCCTACGAGGGGTTTATGGCCACATCCACTGTACCACGGGGATCCTTGGCCAATGAAGCCCAGGATGATGATAGCCACCACAAGTGGGAGCGTGGCCTCCATTGCGGAGCCGTTTCTACCCTGGCGTGAGCGCTCGCAGGTGCCGCAGCACCAACCAGGGAGCGGCAGCGCGTGGCTTGCTGGCGTGGATGCGTGGGTAACTGGTGGGGATCGGAGGGGGGGTGGTCTGGAGCCGGCGCTGATACCGTTTGCCTGGTGACGAGCGCGCTGACATGCGGGTGGGAGGGTTCCATAATGTTTACCTGCGACTGGTGACGCTACCCGTGCACCGCGACGAACTTTGGAATGGAGTAAAAAAACACGCTGCCACACTTGAAACGGGAGTCGGTGTGTCGTGCTTACGCAAGCGGTGTTTTTATCTTCCACCTTGCTCCTTCCCATGCCCCCCTGCGAGTAAATCGACGCGTCCCGTGCACACGCTGCACGCACGCGAACGAGCGTAAAGCATAACTCGGTGGTGGTATTAATAAATCTGTGTGTGTGTAACGCGCTCGAGAGGGTCTGCCTGAGCTGGGAGACGTGGAGACCGGATTCTCTTCCACTTTATTCGATTTTTGTCAGAACTTTGCCGAAGCCTCCAAAGGCGCGACGCGTTTCGGCCACGTGACTCTGCCCTCCCCCCCCCTCGTACTGTTTACTTCGGACCGTTGCGTTCCATCGCAGTAAGCAAAAGAAGAAAAAGAAAAAATGGCAGCGAAATGGTGGGGTTCTTGTAGAAAATCTCCCGATGTTATGGATTCCGCCATAACGCACAGTGTAGTGCGTGCGTCACGCTCGCAGCAGTCCGCATGTCTGCACGGCATGAGTAGATGCAAACTGACGCGCTGCAAAAACATTTGTCGAGCAACTCTAATGATTTTGCAAGGGCAACGCAGCTCCATTAGGGAAAGGGGGCGAGCAAATAAGTAAATATATAAATGATAAATAAATAAAACGAGCCGCGCTCCCTTTAATAGGTCATGTGTTATCTCTCGGCGCGAGCTCTCCGCCGGCCCGCTTGCCGCCCCATGCCCCCCGCCCTCACCTTCTGCCGCCGCTCCCCTCTCCCCGCTGCCCAGGCCACTCGATGCCAAACTTCACCGCAGCGAAGTCCTCCAGACGCTCTGGCAGGAGTCTCCCCCTCGCTTCGCACAGAAGCCGAGCGGCGCGCTTGTGAAGGAGGGCGGCACGGCGCGTTTCTCTTGCCGGCCCACGGGCAGGCCGAGCCCCACGGTCGCGTGGCACAGGGTGAGTGGGGTCTGCTTATATACTACCCGCCCCCCCCCCCCCCCCCCCCGCTCACTCTTTATCCACTGCCACATTCGAGCTGTAACGGGGCCGCCGTGCAGAGCCAGCCCTGTGCGGTTCAGGGAGTCGCAAGGTTGTTTCTCTGCTGCAGGACACGAGCCGTCGTGCGGGTGATGATGTCAACTTGGGTGAAGTGCGCCGTCTGATTGCGGTGTGCGGCTAAAATTCCGAGTCCCTGTCCTTGGTCCTGCTGGGATTCAAAGCAAATTGGTGGCACGGTTTTGGTTCTGGCTCTGCTTGCCTCCTAATAGCTGGTGGAGAAACCACCCATACCGTGAGGGCCCCCAATTTGGTGTGCGGGCGGTGCAACTTTTAGCAGGGGGCCCCTGCCAAACACGCTGCAACAACGCTTGGAAATTCCTCCGCTCGGGAAGAGAGCGGAGGAATCGTGAATCCTTAACAGTTCTGGATCGTCATTAAAATGGATCAAGAGGAGACTCCACACAGTCGGGTCTCGGCTTTATGGCCCTTGTCTCCATTAAGTGGTGCACCTGGTGAATGCCACCTGCTTTGAATGAGTTGCACCTGGTGAATGCCACCTGCTTTGAATGATTATTCCAAAATCGGGCCATTTGCCTGCACATTATAATTTCTCACTTCAGTTGACTTCATTCCGTTTTAAATTATTTCATATTTGTTTGCGCTCCCCTGCCTCGGCCGCTGAAGTGGAAGTTCCGCGTGCAGTCAAAATTAATCCAGGGAAGGAAAACGTCCTTCTGACTGCAAGCGTGACCCATTTTTTTTGTCCTTGTGTTCTGAATCTTTCAGCCGTACGCATTGCACAATGAAGCTTGGGTGCCATCCAATTTTTGTTGCGCAAACAAATATTAAAAATAAATATACATAATATTCCTAAGATAAAATAAACAACTGTACGATTCTGTGGGACAACAGATCGGACTCTTGATTTACAAGGACACAGACCCCATGCTTGCTTGAGCCTGGCCCTCCATGCTAGCCAAGCGGCGTGTGTTCGAACGCGATAGCCCACGCCTGACGTAACGACGCTCGAAACAAAAGCCCCCTTCAGCGAACCCGCGTCACGCTCTCATTTAAATCCTAGATCGTCTTCACTTAAAATGATCACCCGGTCCCCAGGGACCGCTTGCCTGCACACGAGAGTTAAAACTAATGACGACGACGACAAAAAAAACAACAACGGCACCCTCTATTCCTTAATTGCTGCTTCTGGGCCGCCCTGTGACCTCCAACCGGACAGCGAGGCACTGCAGACCGCCCTCTCGGCGCCGGTTGTGATGCGTGCACCGCGGATTTGTCTCGGTGCCGGCAGAGCGGCGTGGAGCTGACCCCCGGCGGACGGGTCGCGTCGGGAGAGGCGGACGGCGTGCACTGGCTGGCGGTGTCCGACGTCGGCGCCGGTGATGCCGGCAGCTACGCCTGCGTCCTCGCCAACGCTGCCGGCACAGTGAGCGCCAGCGCCGAGCTGCGCTTCCAAGGTAACCCACGGCCACCGGTGCTCAGTGCCGCACCCGTCTGGGGTTTAGTAGGGGCCGTGGGGTAGGGGGGGGTCACCTCGCGACTTTGCTTCGTGTTGCGTAACCAGCGAGCGTGGCCGTACGTGCATCTGTGCTGCTCTCACGGGAGGGACATCAAAGGATTCAGGGGGGGGGTGGGACGTGAGGTTGGGACTGAATGAACGAGCTTGATGATGGATTGGATGTGCCGATTTCAAAGGTGCAGCGTGCGTGGTGGCGGTGTTTTTACGGTAGCTGAGGCCCGGTGCAATCAGGCAACTGCCAGGTGAGTTTAGGAGCTTTTGGGGGGTGTCACGTGGCAGGTCAGCTTCAGGGCATTGGCTATCGAGGTGCGAGGGCCCAGGTGGAGCAGGAGATCCAGTGGGTCCCGTGAGCTAGCCGACTTGCCGTCGTTTGATGGCCCAGACGGGTTCCGTTCGCGAGCGGGGGTGGGAAGGGAGCGAGAGAGGGAGCTGGTGAGATGCTGAGAGACATCCCCTGGGGCGATGTTGGCACGAACTCGGTTGCAACACTGCTGCTGCTGCCACCATGAAATCCGCACCGGTTGCTCTGGTGCTCCTGGGCCTTTCCCACACCGCGGCGTGTCCACGCTTTTATATTTGTCGCCTTTTTTTTAACAGCTCGCCTCATCCCCCACGCTCGCTGCTGGAAATCGGGCCATTGGTCGAGAACGCGTGTGCAGCAAACAAAAAACACGACATTTTTCTTGTTTGGTCGCGGCACGGAAAGAAATAGGGAGGAAGCGCCGGATGATGAACGGACGCCCATTCGGCCGCAGCAGAAGATTCGTTGCCGAATGAAACCGTGGCTCTTGTTTGGCCGTGGGCGGCCGCGTGCGGTGGCGACCGAGCGTGCGACAGCTCTGTTTCCCAAACCCCCAACGCCACCACCCCCCCCCCCCCCTGCCGGAGATTGATGCCAGACACGGCCGTGGGGGGGGGGGGGGGGCCCTCTGCTTCCCCTGAGGTCGGTGTCCTTGTTTACCGACCCACTGGAATTGACTGGAATGAATGTCTGCCCCCACCTCTTCCCCTCCCTGCCACCCCCCCCCCCCCCCCCAAACTCTCGGGCACCCTCGCTCTCGGCTCGCTCGCTCACGTGGGCTGCAGGGCAGCGACTCGGAGGGTTCTAATTTTGGGGACGTATTTGTTTCGTTCTTTATATAGGGCACAAAAGGGTGTTGTTTGAGATTCTCGCTTGCAGACTTTCATCTACGTGGTGCTACTCCAAGCGTGCAGTCGCACACCGATCCTGTCCGGCAGTGATAGACCGACCGCACGCACACACACACGTGCACACGCGTGCACGTTGCTCGTGGGTTCAAAGACAAAGAACCCCCGTATAGCCTTAACAAACTGTTGGGGCAAATGCCGGCTCGGCACACGAGGGGGTGGGTGACCAGCACCACGCTCGGCCGCCTTTGTCCCCCTAGTGGCGATGTTTACACGCCACAACAGGTACTCATTTGAGGCTGAGTCGACCTAGGGGAGGCGCAGAACCGGTTCAGATAATCGTCACTGGTGTTGGCCGTGAACGCAAATGGAACCTGGGCCGCTGGGTTTTTGTAGCACAGCGCACTAACCACTACTCAACTTCTCCCTTGCAGGCCGGTACAAAGATAAAGATCCTCCATATAGCCTTAACAGACTGTTTGGGCAAGTGCTGTTAGTGAGCACCTATGAAAGCTGGCATGGAAAACGAGGGGGTGGGTGGCCAACGCCACGCTCGGCCGCATTTGTCTCCCCAGTGGCGATGTTTTTACACCGCTACACACCGCTCCAGCTAACCGCTACACTACGTGCCACACGCATGTTTCACCAATATCCGTCATTCACCACTAAGTGACGGTGACGTCACCACGGCGCCTGTGCCAGGCCAAGTGCACTTTGAGGCCACGTGAATTGTATGTAAGCGCGTGTGCAGGTAAACGCACACCTGCTTGTGCACACATGCACAACTCTAATGTGTGGCCTGTGACAGGCTGTTTGGGACAAGTGTTGTTAGCGAGCACCTATATAAGAACTGTTTGTGGGGCACGAGAGGGTGGTGTGTCCAGCACCACACCCGGGCCCAGACAAAACACAATGCACGCACCATGCGCGCACACACAAAGCATAACGAGGGAAAGAATAGATGACAAAAGAGTCGCAGGTAAACATTTGCTCGACACAGACCAGGCAGTACCTGGAGGGCAGTGGAACCGGAGCCTCCGCGCCGGCGTCTGGAGCCCGGCTGATTTCCACGTGTGCCCTCGTACTGGGAAGATTTAATTTACTCTTTCAGCTGGACGGTTTTTTTTTTGGTAATATTTCGATTTTGAAAACTTACTTTTGGCAGCCTTCCCCAGGCAGGGCCGGTGTGTGTGTGTGTGCGTGTGAGGGCGTATGTATGTGTGTGCGTGTGTCTGTGGGGAGCCGTACTGCGGCAGTTGGCGAGCTGTGCTACGAAACCAACGACCCGAGTTCGATTCCTGCTCACGGCCAACATCGGTGACGAATATCTGAACCGTACCTGGGCCTTGCGTAGGTCGACTCCGCCTCAAATTAGTAACCGGTGAGTGTGTAAACATCGCCACTTGGGAGACAAAGGCGGCCGGGCCTTCTTAGGTGCTGTCAAACAGTACTTGCCCCAACAGTCTGCTAAGCCTATATGGGGGATCTTTGTCTTTGCTCGCCTGTGGGAAGGTGGCATCCGTGAGAGATGACGGAGGGAGATGCCGTGCTGCGGCTTTTGTGCTGAGGGCGCGAGCCGGCGCACGTGCGGATGGATTACGCGGCAGGGCAGGTTAACCCGTGCGGACGTCGTCGGCGTGCGGTGAAATCCACACTCCACGTGTTGACCACCGCCGTGTGGAAGGTGCCACATCGTCAAGGGGCGATGATGTTACAGAGGTGTGGCGGTGGGCGAAGGCCCCCGCCGTGTGTTCCGTCAAAGAAAAAAAACTCGCGTAGGCTCGGACGATCGGACGCACGCTGCGCCGTGACGGTTGACGCGAAGCCAGCTTGGTCGCGCGACGCGCGGTAACCTATCGGCACCAAAGCCTCGCAAGATCGTTTACATCTGTCGCGTGCTGTGGCAGGCGAGCACACTCGCACGCCACCTCCTGTGTTGGCATTAGGACGTGACCGAGGCTCGGCTCCCCCATTGTTCTACTCCCCTGCTGTTGACACGGCAAGGTTGCCTCAATTACAGGTAACGTGACCTCTCTCTCTCTCTCTCTCCCCGGGCCACCCTGTCTGCGAGCAGGTGGTGGTGGCAGTGGAGGTGGCGCCTCTGAAACTTCCCCGCCCCCCGCCGCCCCGTGGCGACCTGAAAGGACAGAGCGCCAACGGAACGGTGACACAGTTTCGCCCGCACCTCTCCGCGCCGAACACGCCACGCGCAGCGCGCGCGGGAAAACGGAGTTCTTGCCGGCGCACCGCTCTGTCGCTAGTGACACGGGCATGGACGGAGGAACCGGCTCCCCTGCCGTAACTGGAGCTGGCAACATCGAGCGGTAAGAGCGCTCCGTGTCTCCGGTGCTGGTTGTTGTCGTGTCGTCCCCGTGGTGGTTGTTGTCATCTTCCGTTTATCAGCCGCTAGTGTGCGCAGGTGGGAAACGGGCGGCAAAGGCTGTGGCTCTGTGAGCCTGTAGCTGCAGGGCTTCGGACCATGGAGTAACGACCGTGTGTGTGCACGCGCGTGGCTTTCGTGTTCATTGCTCAAAATACAAAAATTCCCTCCCGTTTTTTTTGTTTATTTTGGTTCAATTAAGAGGCAAGCGTGTGCAGTCATAGAATATATTTTTAAAAGTACTTATCTGCTTTCCATGTTTTGACTTCTGCTTTCCGGTCGCGGCACAGCACTCAAAAATGGAAGTGCCGTTTAAATTTCCACTTTTTCTCACGAGTGCAGACCAAACAGGAGACTAAACACGAGCTTTGTTTGTTCCCTCCCAAGGATGGAAGCGTCTTCCCATGAGCCTCGGCTGGAGGAGCGACGCTATTCTCAGAGCTCCAGCGTCCACAGTGAGCCCAGCCCGGAGCTCACCGATAAGGAGGAGGAAGAAGATGCAGACGGCTCGGAGCACAACAGGGGTGTGACGCCGGAGGAGGGCGAGCGGCCCCACGTGCCAATGACGAACGGCCACGTGCGGCCGATGGACTCGGAGGCGCCTGGCGCCGCTCAAGCGCCGGCTCCGGGGAAAGAATGCGGCGCCCCCAGCCCGCAGCTCAAAGTCCACGAACGGGTCACGCTCGAAGGTTTTGACGCAGAGGGGACGCTGGGCAAGGACGAGGAAGCGTCCCCGCAACAAAATTGTTCCCTGCAGGATGAGCGCTTGAGTGAAGCCGCTCCCCAGCGCCCGGAAGCTGAGGAGGAGGAGGCGCGGGACCAGGGTGGGGCGCACGTTGATCCTATCGAGGGTTGGGAGGGACTTGCCACTGCCACCCCACGAACCGATTCGGACGAGATGGACGACTCTGTCCCCTCCAGCTCCGCTCAGCTCGTTGAGACCTCCGACGCCACGGACACTGCCAGCCTCGGCGGCACCGTCGAGAACGCAGACGCCAGCGTGGCCGCCGCCGCTTACGCCGCTGATGCCGCTGACGCCGCTGACGCCGCTGACGCCGCTGACATTGTCTGCGGCGCCCGCTCCAGCGAAGCCGTCGACGCCACCTGCGACGTCGGCACCGCAAACGCGGTCGAGACCGGCGACGATGCTGCGGGCGTTGGCGACGTTGGCGCCGCTTTCCCCCCGCGCGTCTCCTCGGTGCCGCAGGCCACCGTGGCCATGGCTGTGGGTGACGGCAGCAGCCGGGAGAGCTCCGAGGAAGAGAAGGATGCCGCCTTTCCAGACCCCGTGAACGTCGCCACGCCGCCGGTGAACGGGGACGAGGTGGCGGCCCCGGGCGACGGCGAGAGGGGAAGCGCACGGGAGGAGTTCGAGGCGGCGGCGCCTTGCGACGCAGGTGCCGATCCACCACCGCTAATGACGTCTCCATACCTGTCAACTCCTTATCAGTGCCCTACCTTAGTACAGACCAATTCAGACCGTATTGGTCACCCCGCGCCCTCACAAATCTCAGCGTTCATCCTAAAGAGACCCATCACAAGGGAGAAACGCAAACAAATAGACACTTGTGTTGCCCGTATTGAAACGGCTGTACGCCGTATGGACCTGACCTCAACTTCCCGGGGTCAACCAGGATGGGTTGACAGGTATGCGTCTTGTCCGTCTCCCCAGCCGCGTTGTTACGATGCTTGCGCCACAGCCAAACGCTCCTCTCATCTATGCAAAAATAAGAATAGGTTTTACCCTTTCTGGCAATAAAACAATTGGTAATACACCAAAGAGAAACCTTTTGCAAGGAAACGTGTCTGCATTAACCAGACATACTTGTGGTTTCTATTCATCTTGAGACCTGTTTTATTTCCAGAAAGGGTAAAACCTACTCTTATTTATTCATACTGTGATATTGGCAAAAAAACGGTCCCCTTTTGCTCTTCTCATCTCTCTCCCTCATTCAAGTGCAATCTTTTTTTTTCTTACCAGTTAAGGCCACGATGAGCTCTATAGCTCACTTTCAGAAGCAACCTAGCCACAAAAGATAACTCAACGAAGTGGAATATCAGGTGGAAATGTATAGCAGCCAGACACTCTAAACGCATGTTGATTCTAAATGTGGAGGGGAAAAACTGTAGGACCAGCAGAAACACATTAACATGACCACGGTGAGAACATGCAAATTCCAGATGTACAGGCATCATCCAATGTCGGGATCGAACCCACGACCTCCTGTATACCAGGCGAGGCAGTAAACATCTCGCCACCGCAGCGCCCCAATGCAACGGCAGAAGTAAGCTACGACGAGGATGTACACAATTGACGTGTGGTCGCGTCGCAAGGCAATGGTGTGCGCACACGGAGATGATCGTTGAGATCGGTGTTTTGCAATTTGATTCAATCTGTCGAGTCTCAACTTGAACCATCGCCATGGATGGTCACGCCGATTATCGAACCACGCCGATTCGCACGTGCGCGACTCGCTGCCAAGTCCACCGTGTGCTTTAGAACCGACATAACTCGATGGGCCAATGCTGAACACCTTAAAATAGATCTCCCCTTCAGCAGCGCTCCAATCTAAACTTGCAACCATCATCCGTAGCTGCCGGTTACTCGGCGCAAATATTTGGTGGGGAGTCGCATTTCCTAGAGTGCTGGACGACCAAGCACCCGACAACAACAACAACAAACAACAGCCATCAAGTCAACGTTCGGCGGTCAACTACATTCTGCCGGTATTCGCATCGGCCGTCGAGGAGGAGAGGGGGGTGGGGGACGGCCTAAAGGAGGTGCGAGGTCATGACTCATCGCCTCTGTCGTTGCTTCTTCAGCCGTCGAGGATTGTGAATCGGTCTGTGGAACAAAGCACGGGCCCGGTCTCCAAGTGTGTGCGCGAACGATGGCTTGTGCTGCAAATGCGGATAACAGCCAAGGCCGCATGCCTTCATAGGTGCTCGCGAACAGCACTTGTCCCAACAGTCTGTTAGGGCTATACGAGGGATCTTTGTCTTCTTTGTGTGTGAGAAACTGTGAATCATTGGTTCCGTTTCATTCATGGATCTGTGTCGCTCCACTCGGTCACAGGAGATGGGGAAGGAGGAGGTTTGGCGGTGCTTGGTCCAGCAGCGCGTTACTGTGCTTTTGATGTAATTGCCAAGAGAAGACGCGTCCCTTCTCTATAACGTATCATTAATTTGCAAGCCCTCATCCTCTACTCCACTGCAACATCCCACATCCCCCTACAAGGGCAACGGGTGTCAAATGATCACCGCGCCTTGAATTGGCCACAGGATTTGGCGTCGTAAAGACCCGGCACCTGGCGATAATTCAGGGGAACGTGGTATTTATAATCGTGCCCGGATCACGTTCGGAATCGCGCGCATGCCGTGGTCACTCAAGCCGAGCGAATCCGGTGTTCACGAGCTCCGGCACAGCCCGCCTGGTGTGCTGCGTGTGTGTCTTTGTGTGTGTGTAGGTGTGTGTCTGTGTGTGTGGGGAGCGGTAGTGTAGTGGTTAGCGCGCTGCGCTATGAACCTGGTGACCCGGGTTCGATTCCTGCTCACGGCCAACACCGGTGACGATTATCTGAACCGGTCCTGGGCCTCCTAGGTCGACTCGACCTCAAATGAGTATCTGGTGCGGTGGATAAAAACATCGCCACTGGGGAGACCAAGGAAGTCGGGCGTGGTGCTGGCCACCCAGCCCCTCGTGTGCCGTGACGACCTTCATAGGTGCTCGCTAACAGCACTTGCCCCTACAGTCTGTTAAGGCTATACGGAGCTTCTTTGTCTGTGTGTGTGTCTGTGCGTGTCAATTTGTCTGTATCTCTGTGTGCGCATGTGAGTTTGCATGCGTCTCAGTCTGTTTGTGTCTGCGAGGGAATGTCTGTGTGTGTGTGTGTAGTTCTGGTGTGGGAAGCAGAGGTGGAGCGGTTAGTGTGCTGCTCTAAGAACCCGGCAACCCGAGTTCGATTCCTGCTCGCATCCAACACCAGTGATGATAATCTGAATCTGTCATGGACCTCCCATTGGTCAACTCAGCTTCAAATGAGTACCTGGTGTGGTGTGTAAACATCGCCACTGGGGAGACAAAGGCCACCCACCCCCTTCGTGTGCCGTAACAATCGCCAACAGCACTTGCCTCAACATTATTTTGAAGGCTATGCGGGAGATCGTTGTCTTTGTCCGGGTGTGTCACCCATGAAAATTCGTCAATGTGCATCACTTTCTCCCTGCGATGGAGGCCGTGCCCAGCTGAGCCCATCCGGGTTTAAGAACCCTGGCTGGTGCGACGAACTGGAAGAAGGGATCACTAACTGATGTCTCCATGTAGCCGATAGCAAACGCACACGTTGCTCTAAAGACAAAATCACCTGTACGGTTTATCATAGTTGTTACAATACAACCATTATAGAGATGGCTCTATCGGTCCGTGCTGCACGTGCATTGCCCCCCCCCCCCCGTGTTGCACGCTGCGCCTGACCCCCCCCACCCCACCCTGGTCAGATCAGGTTTGAGGCTCGCGGCTCATGTTGTCAAATCAATGTTTTTTTAATGAGCAAAAGCAAATCGTGAACTGCTGTGCAAACTTTAAAAGGATGAGGATGGTCAGGTGGTGCTGCTCTGAGGCGCTCCGAGTGCCCGGCGATGTGGTGGTAATGCCTTGTGGGTGGCGATGTAGCCGTGATGATGTGATGCCGATGAAGATGTTTAAGGCGATTTTTGTTGGTCAATTTTCGCCGCTTGTTGTGTCGGCGTGTTTACGTCACGTGTTTTGAAGTGGTGGTGCGACGATACGGTGGTGTGACAATGTGATGTTCTGGCATGTGCGGTGCGCCAGGCCCCCCGGAGCTCCAGGGCCCCCATCAGGTGACGGTGAGCGCCGGGGACTGCGTCACGGCGACGTTCTCCCTGAGCGGCCACGGCCCCTTCACCGTCCACTGGCTGAGGAGCAAGGCCGCCGTGCGTCACCCTCGCCCCACAGTCACCACGATCGCTCACCCCACGCTCGCCACTCAACACTCACCCATACTCGCCCCATATTCCTCTCCAGTGGCGCAGTGTGGTTGGCCCCGTGACCCCTGGTGCAGTTGCACTGCCCTCGCCTCCACACGTCTCATCTCACTGCATCATCCCACGTGTCTCGTTCACATTTGATGTTGCTGAACTGATTTTATCACTCCATCTCTGCGGTAGACATCATGCCTCTGTTAGCTGCCACTCGGTCATCAGTCTCAAACACGAGCCCGCTTATTTTTAATTACGGCCAATGCAAATATGTAGGATGAGTATTTGTCTTAACAGTTCCTTTTGGGTACCGATTTCATCCATTTTAAATACATCACCACCACGGCAGAAACCAAAACGGAAGTCCCGTTACTGAGCAGGAAATATGCTTTTTAAACCTTTTCACTGGGCGTTGCGTTTAAATATTCACACGACTCATTTGTATAAAATGTCCCGACACGTGGACATAAAACACGAGCTCACAGTTGTGAACTGTTCACATTAGGTGGACTGTGTGTGTGTGAGTATACCACGTACCCTCTCAAAGTTGTTGGTCGCGATCATGGCCTTTGACCCACCCTACTGTCCGCGATTTTTGAACGTATTGGCGGTGCACCGGTGGTGCATGGTATAAAAATACAGCACATTTTTCGCAATAATTATTTTCCCGCGATTTGCAACTCCGGTCAAAAAATATTGCGGTCTAACGGTGGTGGTGGTGCATCAAAATCAATTCTCGTGATGTCGAGGCAGTTGGAAGACGAACGTTACAATGAGCGGCTGAACACGAAGAAGCTTCACAGTCTGTTGCCGTACAGCAGCACCCAGCCTGATGACGATTGGCTGCTCCAGATTTGGCTCCTCGTGCCCTAGACTTAGTCGGACGGTTCCTAGATTCAAAGGACCCAAATCCGCGGTCAATATTGACATTGTGTAGCAAGTCTCAGTCAACTAAATAACATCTTCGAATCACGTCAAAGTTGGCGACAGGGTCGAACAAAGACTGATAAACAGATTTGTTTATTCAAATTTAGATTTTTGGACTGTTTTATGAAGACCGGTGTGTTATGGTGCACCGGTGTACCGCCAATACGTCCTTTTACCCAAGACCTCTGCATCCGACACTCCCAGTTGCATCTGATCGTTCACTTTGCTTGTGAAAAGTTTTTTGTTAGCTTATTTATTTCAACAAAAAGGGAGCCCCGTTTTCGGCCCGTCGCACAGCTCGCAAAGCCGCGAATCGAAGACCGCGGAGAACCGTTCCGACGCAACCGAGCCTTATATAGAGGGGCGGGGGCTAACAGGAGGAGCGGGGCGAGGGCGCTAACTCGGTAAGAACACCACGTGGGGGGGGGGGGGGAGCGAGAGGGCAAAGAAAAACTCGTAAAATCAAATGGGGTACAAGCGGCCTATCGGCGTTTATGATGTCCCTCCACCTTTTCCGGGTTCTGCTTGGAAGCACTGAGAGGGGATTACTGATGACAATTCACCGGCTTCTTGTGGCACGTCAACATGTTCTCGGTCAAAAGATCTGCACATCTTGTCTCTTGTTTTCCCATTACACGTCCATAAAAACCGAACTTTTCCTTTCCCCAATCATTATTATCAGCTTTCTTTTTGTACATGCTAAGTAGATGTAAATATAACTGTGCGAATCCAGGCTGAGGGAATTATTCCACCGATGTATACTGCACGTTAGCCATGGGGGAGGAAATGTGATCCGTTATTTTAATAAGGGACAGTAAATCTTTATTTATAACCTTGTTGAAGATCCCTCCTTTTCGTTTTTTTTGGCAAACACTTTTCCTCTTTTGCTTAACCCCCCAGGATTCGGACACAATGTTGAAAAACTGCTACTCATATTTCGTCAATGAGAGATGATACCTTTTTAATTAGAAGCCCTGCAGCGCACGTGATAGGACGATTTTCCCTCTTCCAATCCGTTAAACCGAGAATCCGGTTGGATGTCTTGCAACGGCGGCCCAACCCTGCACGTGAGAAAACGGCTCGTGCAAGTGGACACCACAGAGCTACATCCGATATCCTTCATTTGGTAGCCACTGGGTCCTACAGTAGGGGAGTAGGACTACTCTACCTGCTCTGCTGCCCAGGGTGACGTTGGTCGCACGACAGTCATGCCGGGCTGGACTTGCTGTGTTCACAGGCAGCCACCTGGATGTTGAACCCAGGCTCCTTAGCCTAGTAATGGTGACCTCTATGCCAACAAGGCCACCTCCTAAATTACATGCGTCACGTTTGTATTGTGAAGAGCCAGGTCGGGGTTAGGTGGGCGGCGGGGGGGAGGATGGTGGCCGGTGGTCGAGACTCACGGCGGAGTGGCAGCTGAGGGAGGGTAATGCACCCGAGAGCACGTCCGCCATAAATCGGAGCGACAAAATTAAGCCGGTGTGAAGATGGCTTAGAAGGTATAGAGGGGGGGTAGGTCTTGATCTCGGCCATTGTTTATAGCGAATACGGTTGCCGTGTTCGCGTTTGTGCGTGTTCGCGTGTGAGCGCAGGTGGAGGAAGGTGCGAGGGTGAGGCTGGCGACGGACGAGGGGAGCGCCGCTCTCTCCATCGCTCCCGCGCGGCGCGAGGACTCGGGCTGCTACAGCCTCAGCGTCTCCAACGCCCACGGCAGCACCATCGTGCCCTGCAACATCACCGTGCTAGGTGAGGAGGCCCTGGGGGGGGGGGGGGGGGGGGGGCGAACGGCTAACCCGAGAGGAGGTGGTGGCGGGAGAGGGGGGGGGGCGGAGTGTTCATAGCATCACCGGGTGCACTGGCAGCCGGATAGATTTTCATTCCTTCTCCGTAAATCGCCGTGGGTGGATTCCGCTGTCAATATTTAGTAAACCTAACCCATTAATAATGACTTTGGAGTCGGCAGGAGTGTTTTTAATAGACGCTGCGTGTGACTCACGGGTTTGAAACAGGGCCTTTATGGGCCCTGGCTGGAATTTCGCGTTGTATTATAAATGGATTAAGGTATTTGGTGCGCGCGCGCATTTCCACCACGCAACGCACGAACCCAGCCGGCAGCCGCCCCGCTCTCCCGTCGCCGCAACGCACCGCCGTTGACCGCGCGTGCAGACGAGATTGGACTTCTTTTAGGCCAACGCTTCGAGCGACCGGCTCGGGAAACAATCTCACGGGAACTCCGTGAGCACAGCGGGGGGGTTGGGGAGCGCGGGGGAAGGGGGGTGTCGTCTCAAAAACGATTCACCGGCGTGTGGCGGACGCTCGCCCGATGGTGCACGCAGATCGACCGGAGCCTCCGAGGGGCTGCCCCCAGGTGTCCCTGAGGAAAGACGGGTCGCTTGCGCTCTCCTGGTCGGGCCCGGCCGATGACGGAGGCAGCGCCGTGGAGGTGTACGTCATCGAGGGCCAGCGGTGCGATGCCCAAGACGGCGATGGCGCGTGGACGGAGCTGAGCGGGTCCTGCGCCAGCACCTCCCTGACGCTGGACTCGCTCGAGTTCGGCAGCGGCTGGAGGTTCCGGGTTCGCGCTCGCAACGCACACGGCCTCGGCGACGCGGGAATGGAGTCGCAACTCATCACGGTCGGGAAAGCGGGTGAGGCGGCACAGCGCTCTTGCACGCGTTGCCACACCGGCGCCAACACGCGCATGCCAAGTGCCTTGCGTGGTGATTTGCCGATTTAATGCATTTGCGGCCCAAAGGTGTGCTTCGAGTTTTCATGTAAAATGTCAATGCAAATTGGAAATTTTAGGTCCAGCTTATTGAGCTTATTTTTGGACGCGAATTTTGGGTGATCGGTACTTCTTGCTGACGTGTTGTGTGTCTCTCGCATGCTCACGCTTTCGTGAACCTCGGCAGAAGGACCATTGGACGGTGAGCATCTTCGTTACAAAAATAAGAATGACATAATGCAATATTTAATGGGCACAATATCACACAGACATTCATTACCGTGACTCTGAAATGCAGAACCAAGCTCAGTGTCGCTCAGCCAGGAGAGAGTTGTTTGGGGGCCTTTAGGAATATGCTGGGCAGTGCCAGTCCTCTTTGTTGGAGGCTGTGAGTCGCACTACTGTGGAGAGTTCCACTGTGAGGTGTCATGCAAGAGGACAGGCGTGGAGAGAGATACAGTGGACGATTGAGGGTAGAGATTGCGGTGGCAAAGACATGCGATCTTTTAAGCATCGAGTAGAATCGCAACCCCAAGCAATGCCGCACGTGGCCTCGCGCTCGCACGCACGGCCCTGAAAGTGATTTTGTTTTCCATTTGTGTGCAGATAAAGAGGAGAGTGAACCGGAGTACCACGACGTCGTGGTCAGCACCGACAAGAAGGTCACGGACCTATTCGAGAGATTGGACAAACTTGGCACGTGAGTCCTCGTGCCATTGCGCAACCTCGTGGACTCGTGGCGAGGTTGAGACTGAGCGTCGGGTGTGGAGCGCGGAGCGTGGAGCGTTGAGCGGGGATCTGCTCCAGGTTTTGCTGTCGTCGAAAGCGGAGCCCCACGAGCGATTCCGTGCAGTCGTATCCATTCCAAGCAACCTTGCTTCCAGGGGCTCGACAGGGACATATTAAGCCTTTGGTGTAAAATAAAAATATCTCATGTATAACTATATATTAATATATATTTATATATGCCCCTTTGGTGAAACCGTTTCAGTTACGAAACTACCACTATCCTTATTACGGAAACTCAATTCAACCATTTCAGTGCAACCGTTTTTGACGAGACTATTCGTACATGAATCACTGTTCATCTTCTCAAAATATTGCTAAGTTATAATCCATCTCCAGTAAGTGGCGTAAAGTAGTATTATAAATATATCGTTCACAATGGTTGCATTCGCCCAGTTGATTTTTTTTCGTTGCGCCAAACGGCTGCTTGGCATTAAAACCGCCCGTGGCCTTTGCACGTGGGCTTGTTGGATAATCGGTAACCCTGGAGCCGAGCAGTGGAGGCCGTTTCACGGAGGGGGTGTCACAGCGAGGAATCGAGCAGCACCCTTGACCGCCTACGCCGCACCCCCCCCCCCCCCCCCGTTAATTTATATTCTCAACCAGCTGTGAAATTGGTGCGCCGATTGTACGGTCGGCAAAACGCCGATGTCTCCGAGCCGCAGCCGCTTCTTCTCGATAGCTCCGCGTGATCGTCAACGGTTTGGTGGAGAGATCACGGCAGGAACAGTCCCGTGTTTTAAAATGCGCGGCTTGTGTTTTCGGCCAGGTCTGTCCATGGGGTCCGGTAGCCCCGTGATAATGATTCCGCTCGTGGCATAACCACGTCCAGCACACACCTCGCTGTGGCTGTTGGTACCAGCTGCGTGCCACCTCGTGGTCTCCCAGCGACGCGGAAAATATTGAGTCAAAATTAAGCCCTGGTTAGACAGCTGTGCACTCTCGAGCCAATTAATTAATATTTGTTTTTCTAAAAAAAAAAAACGATTTTTACGAGAAATATATTTTTGGAATGAAATTCCAATTTTCATTTCAAAACGTTATCATTAATTGGCTTCAGATGCCACAACTTGTTTAAGCGGGGTTTAATTTCACACGGAGATAAAAAAAAATCATAAACCGTGCTGTTGGTGAGCTTCCGCCTTGTGAACTGCTTCAACACGAGCACCTGCGCCCCCCCCCTGTGCGCACGTGCGTCTCTGTACGTCCTCGCCTTTGTAGGCGCTCGCTAACTACAAGTGCCCTAACAGTCCTTGAAAAGCTCTTCGGGTGATCATTGTCCTTGTCCTCACCTGCCCATGTGTACACGTGTTGTTGGTGTGTGTGTGTGTGTGTTGTATGGTGTTTGTGTGTGTGTGTTGTGTCCTTGCGTGCTCTGCCCATGAGCCCAGGGGCAAGTTTGGGCAGGTGTTCCGCCTACGGGAGAAGAGCAGCGGGCGGGAGTGGGCCGGCAAGTTCTCGCGCGCGCGCCGGCGCGAGGAGCGCGAGAACCTGCGGCGCGAGGTGGACATCATGAACAGCCTGCGCCACCCGCGCATTGTGCAGTGCCTTGCCGCCTTCGAGGCGCCCAATGAGATCACCATCGTGCTCGAGTAGTAAGGGCTGCATGCGCGCGCACGCAAGCGGTCTACGCTGACCAATCCGAGATGACTGGTTTTTATTTTGTCCAAATTTGTTCGATTTTTGTCGTTGCCATGACGTTACGAGATGGAGTTGTCCACTCGCCGTTCTCGCGGTGAGAAGTGCAGCGGTGAATCTGCCCGCTAGATGCGCGGCCGAGATCTCCGCACGTGACTGTTTACCCACACTAGGGGCGCAGCAATTTGCCATGTACCCTTTTGTACGTAACCATCATGCCACCTTTTTATGGCTCTGATCTGGATTTTTAGTCACGTAGAGGTTAAAACCCTATAATCGGTCAGATGTTTTTTGTTGTGCAGTGGCTGCCTGGATTTGAACCCAGGATCTCAGAAAAAAATGAAATATGTAGGTGACAAGAGAACAGAAAAATGTATGGACGCTGGAAACAAATATATTTCACAACACACACATGGTGTGCAGCATTGCATGTACAACAGCTCTCGGCCTGGTCTCAGACCTCTGGCTCAAAATATCTGAATATGTGGCCTATTCGCCTTTTCCACCACCAGCTCAAAGAGTTGAGAAAATGTAGCCATCCCAACGACGGGGAACAGTGAAACCACTCATCGTTGCTTCACGAGACACTTCCAGATGGCGGTCAGCTTGAGTGGCCTTCATCCATCAAGAGCATAGGCCCTTGATGGATGATTACGAGAATGACGACGACCGAGGATTGCGAACGTCTCTCGGAGCCGGTGCCCGCGTGCGTTGTTCCGCAGCGTCTCGGGCGGGGAGCTGTTCGAGCGCGTGAGCGACGACGACTTTGAGCTGACGGAGCGCGAATGCGTCGAGTACATGCGGCAGATCCTGGATGGCGTGGGCTTCATTCACCGGCAGCGCATCGTGCACCTCGACCTCAAGCCCGAGAACATCATGTGCGTGAACCGCACAGGCACGTGCATCAAGATCATCGACTTCGGCCTCGCACGCCGCATCGGTAAGGGGGGGACTCGCACTACGCATGCCGAGTGCATGGACGCGACCGCGGGTCCCGCCCGCCGGCCAATGGGACGGCGGCAGCGGGCGCGTAACGGTTGACCCAGCCTGTCATTATCTTGTGGTACACCAATACAGAGTTTAGCACGGAATAGTATGGTCGACCTCTTGAATATCGTGGCTCGCAGTTCCATTATTTTTTAGTGATCTTTAAACTGATCCTCGTCTGAGAACTTTTTAATGTTCTCTGAGCAAAACTCTTTCTAGTGGTACTTATTCAAATAATGCATCAAATCGTTTGTGGTAAGAACAGATTCTTAACCGTCTTTTCAAAGACGGTCAACGCATCACGCACTTTCAGACGCACTTCTGCGGCCATCTGGAACGCTCTTCCTTCTGATATTAGGAAGCCACTGGAGCTATGAACTTTTAAATCTCGATTAAAAACGAATTGCTTTAGAGAACTGCTTTTTGTGCTCCATTTGTCCTTCTCCGCACCTTCTTATTAGCACGGTGGCTACGTACGGTGCTAAAGATGTTCTACATACATACAGACATACATACATTCTTGAACGATATTACTATCTGGCCAGTGTATCGGACGAGACGGAATATGGGGAGGCAGGCAGTACGACTTCTCCTCTGCAGCCCGCCCACAGCGTGGCTCATCGTGGTCGCCACGGGGGAGCCCCTTCCGTGCGGGCCTCCATCCGGCCCAGCCGGGAGGGCCGCGTTTACGATTCTCTCTCGCATCCTCGCCGCGCCTGTCGGTCGGGGATGCCGGGGGGACCACAATACCCTAACGCATGGTGAGAGACGGCTCTGTGATGATGTTTTCCGTTCCTCGCTTTGTCCACTGACAGAGCCGGGGGTTCCCCTGAAGGTCATGTTTGGAACCCCGGAGTTTGTGGCCCCAGAGGTTATCGCCTTTGAGCCGGTCACCTTCGTCACGGACATGTGGAGCATCGGCGTTATCTGCTACATTCTGTGAGTAAACGCCACAGTTAATGTTCCAACCTAGTCCGGGCTGATCTCATCGCAGAGTCACGCGCTTGTGCCCATGGGGGACATTCGCTTGTTCCTGGCTAACGCCGCCTATGTTGGGCACAACTGTGATGTCGTTCGTACTTATTGTGCATTTAATATCAGCTATCAATAGCCTTAAGTATCGTAGTCATAGTCGTAGCAATGAAGAATGCAGTTTGTTATTTTAGACGTTGAATATGGACTATAATGCCAAATGCATTTACTGGCTGAATGCCTCTGTGAAACTGTTTGGTAAATGATTAATACAAGAGGAATTTCGCATATCAAAGCACTCGTGACAGTATTGATATGTAATGACAATTGAGTCATCCCACGCACGATCATTCATTGTACACCGATGCGTGTGCCTGGTCACCCCATGCCCCCTCATCCCCCTTGTGTGCACGCCTCTCTGGCTCCATGCCCCCATGTGTTTTTCTCCATGTCCCTCTGTCTGTACTCCCACGTATCATCCGTACCCCCATGTCTCTCCGTGACCGTGTTCCCCACTGGCAGGGTGAGTGGCATTTCCCCGTTGGCCGGCGACACCGACGTTGAGACAATGGCGAACGTGACGAGCTGCAACTGGGATTTTGACGACGATGGGTTCGCAGACATATCGGAAGACTGCAAGGACCTCATCGGCAAGATGATCGAGAAGGATGTCAAGTGAGACCCGCCTCTCTCCCCAATTTGCATCCCCCCCCCCCCCCCCATCTGAGCTCATTATCGTGATCCCCTGTAAGACTGACAACGAAAAACTTCATCATATGAAACATCGGGCAATCGAGGAAATTAAGCAGTGTCAAGTTTTAAAGGAACTTGCGGATTGGCAAAAGGTACAAATTAAAAGGGGACATACGGTTCTGTGCAAAAACAACTTAAAATGTATGATGACCAACAGGGAAGCAGGGGTCCACTTTCTGTCCTGCCTCCTCCCCCCCCCTACTGCCGAGGCCTACTATATAACCTCGTGCCACGGCAGATCAATCGCCTACAGCAGTTTTTTTTCTTGCTGTGGTTGTCCCACCTGATGACGATTGCTTGTGTTGCGATCGAAACGTCGTGACCTATTATTTTTATATCTACGTGACTTTACCGAAAGAACCAAAGAGTATGGATTCCTGCAGTCACGAAAGCTTCAAATTAAGAGGGAAGCAGTAGTTATTATTATTATTATTATTAAAAAAAAGATAAACCTTCAATGTAACTGCGCGTGGACCACACATCCCAAGGGTGACAGAATTCTTGCATATGACTCAGCTGGGATTACACGAAACAGCACCTTCGCCTTATCCCCCCACCTCCTGTACTGAAAAAACTTAGCAGGACCCTCCTAAAAAAAAGTCTCGAGACTCTGAGGATTTCCCGGTTAAACGGGTGGATTAATAATGACGATAAACAAAAAAGAGAGATGCAACGATTACTCCGGTGATGAAAGCGGCATCGTTGTAGGAACGTTGTTGATGCATTTTTTTGTAAACGGCGAGGGGCGTTTACGTTCCACGTGAACCAGATGCAATGAACTCGCGGTGGTAATTGAATCGAAATCCCAAGCGCTCCTTGCAACGTGCGACGCGCCGCGCCCGCAGGAAGCGCTGGACCTGCGAGCAGTGCGTGCAGCACCCCTGGGTGCAATCGAGCCCCGAGCGCTTGGAGCCCAAGCAGCTGAACAAGGAGCGCATGCGCAGCTACATAACGCGCAGGAAGTGGCAGGTACGGCCCACGCGCGCCACGGTCCAGGAGGAGGGCGCGTGCTGTGCGCCGCCGCCGCCGCACAACGTGTGGACACGGCGTTGTTATATGCTTGCACAAAGTCTTATTGCGTTTTACCCACCTGCGTGTTTCGTACATGAATCGCATTGAAACATATGTAGCTCCCAAACTGCGTATGTATGGCTCGTGCATAGCCTTTGCGCTAGAAGAATGGTTAATCGTTTATAACAGCATATTTTTTTTTTAAAGAGGCAACAAAAACTGCCGAGGAAATGCATGAACCAAAGTTTACAAAAACAGAACCAATAACGCTTTTCCTGATCGATTTAACAAAAAATACAAGTAATAGTAAGTCTTTCGAAACTGTACAGTGGGGAACGATGAGCACACGTGAACGTTCACCACACGAGGCGAGTGTGGATTTGTAAATTTGTTAATTGTTCGCTGTCGTCTTTATCGTTCTTTGCAGAAAACGGTGCACGCGGTGCGAGCGGTCGGGCGGCTGGCGGCCTTGAACGCGGCGCACTTGGGCTCGACTAGCGCCACGGCCACCTCCCCGACCTCTCTGACCTCTCCGGCCTCTCCACAGTAGACATAGGGTCCAGGTGCCCCCCACGTCCTAGTAGCCCCCCCCTCTCCACGTCCTGGTAGCCCCCCATACCCTGGTGGCCGTCAAGAGGGCTCCACCTGCCGTGCATCTGACTCTTGACACCCATAAATCACCGCTTGGGTAGTGCGCTGCAATGGAAGCCACCCTCGGTCAGCGGAAGAGAACTGACCTCGCTGCATGTTTTTAAAAGTTGTCCTGTCCTGCTGTGGCCATCCGATGTCTCACGATCGACTGTTCAAATGTCACGAATACATCCTCTATGCTGCTGACTATGCTGGACACGAGGCGTTATGACTATGCACGGGACAGGGAGCAGTTGATATTCCTCAGTACAGGAGGGGAAAGTCATCCTCTGGGCTCCCTTAATGCTTTAATATGCCCCCCCCCCCCTCGCTCCGGTTGCTCCACATGAGGCCCATGTTGAGTGGCCAAGGGGGCCCTCAAAAACATCTATCATGGCTGCTTGACCCAACCTCTAAACTATGCCCACGCATTTGCTGGACAATATCGTGGGTAATCTTCACAGAGCCACCATCGGACCCTCGCGGTAGCCCTGATCTCCCCCTTGCTGCAGCGTGAACGCCCTCCTCGCCCCGGAGTCCGCGAGCCCTGCCCCGAGGGCTTGTGTGGCGTGCGAGCTGTCGCCATGACTGTGGGAGATCGATCGCCCGCTACACTCGCCTTAACTCTTCATTCGCCGGACACCGGCTCCCAGCTATGCCAATTCCGTCGTGCACTAATTTCTAAACCTCAACGCCAAACAGCTGCTGTGACTTGCCAACAATGATGCCAAATCGCATGAACACCTGTGTGTGTGCGCGTGTACATACGGGGCACTGTACACACACGGTTGTGAGGCGGAATGTTAACTACTTAAGGAGTTGACGTCCTCGCGTGGACAGGTTTTTGGGGAGGCGTGGGGAACATGTCAGATGAGGCTCCCCTCCGAGGTCCCCTTGTGGAACCCTGTCTAAGGCCCCCTCAGGTCTGAGACTGGGGTAAACTACCCGCCCCCCCACCATCTGTGTGCCTGCGGATTGTAATTGTCGCACGAATTAGGTCGGTCAAAATGTCTCTATCGACTCGTTCTCAAAATACACTGCCGCATGTGTGCATGAAAACCTACCCACACACACACGCGTGTTGTAGGACCCAGGGCATGTGTGATCACAATTGATGCCACCACAATTGATGCCACCACACGGTTTTCTCATTGTCTGTGTGCCCACGTTGTCTCACTGATATTTTTAAAAATATATTTTTTAATTAATCCCCACGCTTGTACGTGCCTCCTGGACAATAATATATCGATACATACCTGTAATTTGCATGTACATTATATAGTCTATCTCTTTTGTTCCCATATATGCTTATATTTTGAGAAATAAAGTTACATTATTTATCCAAGGGCATTCCATGTTCTACGGGGGGGGGGGGGGAGGGGAGGAAATCATCGATGGGTTTCTATGTGTTCTTTATTGGACTGAAACAGCTTTTGAATACTATACTGTATACACTATATAGATATACCCTAACGTTATATCTTGGGATATAATCCATCCCACTCGGGAAGAGGACAACTCTACTTTTCTGTAAGTGAATTTGGAAAGAAAATTTACTGAATTCGTTGTGGGCATGACACAACGGGACGTTTAATGGAATAATAGGTAGCAGTGGTCGTAATAATAATGTCCGGCACTCAAGACGGAATGACAGTGGCAGCCAAAGGAGAAAACCGAGAGGCGGAGCCGCCTTTGGAGACGGAGTGAGTTACTGCATTAGCGTGACCGTGATGAATGGCGACGGCGTGGAGAGTCCTTCATCCCATCAGAATGTATGACGGCTGTGCATGATAACGAATTGCACTACAGGTAGAGAGGTCTGTGCAGTGCTGGAAATGGGAAGAGATGATTGGGGTAACTCACCCCCCCCCCCCCCACTTGATCCGAGGAGGAGCTTCACTCCATGTGGGTCTCTGTGCGTGCATGTGGGTCTCTCTGTTAGCCTAGGTGGCTGTCTGAAAGTCAAATAAATTTAACAAGAAAATATGAATCCTCGATTCCTTCCGGAACGCAGTCGCGGTTGAAATGTTCACTCCCACCACGGCCGTTCCGTCCCATTTCCACCACCGCGTATGTGCAGAGAGAGGGTGGTGGGCGTGGGCTTTCATCTCGCCGCAACGAATGGACGTTCACATCAGTTTTCAGTTTATTTTGGTATAGCCCTGTGAGCCATCCGGCTCTTGAATCGGGTGCAACCACAACAAACAAAAACACGAACAAGAAAAACATCTTAAAGTGACTGTGCAAACAGAAAATCCATGGAAAAAACAGCAAAAATATTCCTGAAAAAAGCACCGTACACCAACGCTTTGTGCAAAAAATCCCAGTGGGATGCAAGTCAAACAACAACAACCACAAAAACTTAGATTAAGGCCATCGGTCTAACTCCGTACTACAACAAAACAAACATGTCCAAACCAAAAAACGTTCTCCAAATCACCAAAAAATAAAGCCATAATTGCAACGTAACAGTGATCACAGCGACTGTGACCGAATTTTTACAATAAGCTACATAAATAATATGTAACACCAAATTTTAGAGCCATAGCTGGCTGCATGAGTTACTCCACAACAATAGAAGCATCGGTCGGAGTATCAAATTTTTAAATGCACCTTTAAGATCAGCACGCTAAATCAAAATACAGATAATACTTTGCAGCGTCATCCGGAGCGAAATATTTTATTTTAAGCCAATGAATAGCAGTGGCAGCTAGGGGTGTACAACTCCTCTAGAGCAGTTTTGAGAGAAGATCTCATTGGTAGCGATTCAAGTTGCAGTTTATTGGCAATAGCATTCCAGACCCTGGGGGCATCAATAGCAAAGGCCCTTCCTCCGGTTTTTGTACGGCAATAGGGAATGTGAAGCTGGTAAATGAGCGAAGACCTGAGGTCAAATTTGTTCTTTGAAACAGAGAGGAGATCCAGCAGGTAGTCTGCGGATTTTTTTGTAAGTACATTATGTTCAAGTGGCGGGGAGCACAAGGGACGGTAAGTGTTTAACATTTGTACTTGGTGTTGGTAATAATAATTACTCCGCTTGTTGACTCGCCGAGTTTGGATCGCTGCAGTTTCTTTTCACGACCGAGCCCCCTCCTGCCCGGGCGTGGTGACGTTGACGGTGGGGCGTGGTGACGTTGGCGGTGGGGGCGTGGTGACGTTGGCGGTGGGGGCGTGGTGACGTTGCGGTGGAGGCGTGGTGACGTTGGCGGTGGGGGCGTGGTGACGTTGGCGGTGGGGGCGTGGTGACGTTGGCGGTGGGGGCGTGGTGACGTTGGTGGTGGGGGCGTGGTGACGTTGGCAGTGGGGGCGTGGTGACGTTGGCGGTGGGGGCGTGGTGACGTTGACGGTGGGGGCGTGGTGACGTTGGCGTTGGGGGGGGTGCTGTCGCCATTCGCGTCCGCCTGCGGCGCTCTGTGTCTGATGGACGCGAGAGGGGGGTAGCGAATCTGATCCGAGTTGTGGTTAGCGCCGGTGGGGGGGTGGGGTGGCACGTGCCCCCCCCCCAATGACCCGATCGAAATTAGGGATTTCGATCGGATCATTGTGGTTTGAGTAATAATTCGGCATTTTGCGACCCCCACTGCCACTGTGTAGCATATTATTACGTGCCAGGGACTCTGTGAGATGAATAAGACAATAGTCGGAGTCCATAATTGGCAGTAAGTAACGGCAAAGCGGTTATAAGTGACTCAGAATTGTGCGCAGTCGCGTCTACAGAGTCCACGACTTCCCTGAAGGCATCGACACCTTCAGCGAGCGCGATTCCGACCGATCACACAACAACGCGGTTCGCAATTCGACCCCTCGATCGATGTCTGCGCCATCGCCGCACACGAGTCGAGTAACAAGCAAGGGACGAGTCCTCACTAACAACTCCTCTATCATGTTTCATTGCTGGAGGGGGGTTGCCCCCCCCCCTACCTGAAAAATGCTTGCTCCACCCTTGGTGAGCGCGCCGTCCTCCAGCCGAGACCAGGGGTAGCGCGGAGCCACGGACGATTGGAACGTGCCGGACCTTGGCGCAGGGCTACGCCGAGTCGGCACAAGTGGCTGGTCGGCCACGTGGCTATGGCTCGGAGAGAGTAATAAGAGTGACTCGGTGATTCAGGTTAGGGGCCGTCCATTTAGTACGTAGGCATGGAGGGGTGTAGGGGGGGGCTTAACCCAAATCCTGTACGCATAGGAAACGGGGTTGGGGTGGGGGTGAAGCCTCGATAATAATTTGTCTACATTGGCCTTGAAATGAGCCACAGTTCAGTGTCTTCAGCTGTCAGACGACAAGTACTAGCGTGAGCAGTGGGACTGTGGGAGAGGTGCCACTCGTGTGCCACCGTGCCCCCCCCCCCTGACTGCGAGCTATCACGCGGCTCGGCAAAATAAGTGGCCAAGGCACGCAAGTTATTTTTTTTTTAATGCAGGTGGACTATCTGTTTGCTTAAACACGTTAATGTTATTAATCCTTGATCGTTTCTGCGTGGATTAAATATCGGCCGTTCTATAGGATTCGGGGCGGGGGTGCGTCAGGCGAACGTACACAGGTGGTGGAGTGGGGGGGGTAAAAAGTCCACGTGCGTACAGGGAGGGGGGGTAGGGGTCAAGTTTTGACAGATTTGAGCGTTCCCACTCAATGGATGGCCCCTTAGGCGCCAGTCCTAATGGCTGACTAATGTGTTTGAGGATATGTAATTACACTGGAGGACTCCGATGGGCTATAAGGCTCTTCTAGACTTGAAGTTTTCGTGACTGCAAGGATCCATACTCTTTAGTTCCTTCGGTAAAGTCACATCGGTAAAGAAAAGAAAAAAAAGAAAAAATGATTTCATCACGACGTTTCGGACACAACCCAAGTGTCCGTCATCAGGTGGGACAACCACAGAAATAAACAGTTGCTGAAGTAGGCAAAAGAGCCGCTAGTGACAGGGGTTAGTTATATAGATGAGGGAGTGGGGGGCGGAGCCAAGGATAGAGAGGGAGGGAGCAAATATGACATTGAGGGTATATAACCTGAGCGGCTCTTTTGCACACTTCAGCAACTGTTTATAGCTGTGGTTGTCCCACCTGATGACGGACACTTGTGTTGTGTCCGAAACGTCGTGCTTTAATTTATTTGTTATTTATTTTATTTACCTACGTGACTTTACCGAAAGGACCAGAGAGCATAAAGCCCTTGTTCAAGATGTCCAGAGGCGGGTCAGAACGTTACAATACAAAAACACGATAGACGTGCAGAGTATAGCCAAGGTGAACAAATCACTTAAAAATATATACACAAATAAAACTAAACTATTTTGATATTGCCAGGTAGGTGAGCGATTTACTGCTCACGTGATCATTGAAGCGGTGCTTCCCTCCTGTTGACAGCCCCGAGGCAGTGGTGGAAATTCCACATTCCAATGCAGGATGGCGAGTCGACCCACGGGGCAACCGCTGTTGGCGTCCCCCACACGGCGATACCAACGACGGCAGGATTCGGCACAAACGCCAGGGACCTGTTGATGTTTCCTTGCTGGGAGTTCACAGCGCCTGGCACAGCGTAGCTCCTAAACCGCGAATGTGAACACGAGCAGCAGCCCCCGCAACCCACCCCCCGTAGGTGGTCCCGCAATAGAAGGGGGTCCCGAACCCCTACCCCGTGCCTCGTGCTACTGGGCAAGCGGGAACTCGCGAGATCTCGATGCGCCCGGGAGCGATGGAGTGATGTGAAATGCTGACTGACCACCATGAGCCTGGAAGGTGCCATACTAATCACGTGACCTGGGAAAGGAGCACTGCGCACCTGAGCGACCCCCCTGAGGACACGTCCAGGCCATTTGGCAATCCACTGCTGGATGAGTGCGGGGTTGTTTTGGAGGGTTGGGGGGGATATTTGACCATACTTCGCCACGCCGGTCAATGAAGGTTTGGTGAGTGCGAAGAATATAATGGGGGGGGGGGGGGGTCATAGAAGTGCAGTGCAACACGCCTGTCCACTACGTGAAATGACTGCACGTTGCACAGTTTTAGCGGCACACGCTCGTTCATATCCTGCCATATATTCCCATATCCTGCCCCATTAGTCGTTTAGTTGAATGCTATTTTTATTGTTAAAACAACCATTATATAAAAGTATGAAGTATAAAACCTAAGTTGTGAGATAATGATACGTATCATTAGTAAAGATTTTATTTTTTAAATAAACTTTTATTTTTTTAAATAAACTTTTTCCTGTCCACACATTTGCCCTGTGTGGCTGCTGGTATTTTGCGCCTGCCTGTTGTGTGGTGCATTTCTGTTGTAATTGTGGTTGTGTGGTGCGGATGGCTCCTGCACCAACAACAACAACCACAACATCAGCAGCAGGCCAGGAGTTAGCGGGCCATGTGATTACCCCGTCACCAATGTGCCTACCGTTTGTGCAATACAATGGGAAGGGATTCTCTTTTATACAAAGACAACGATCCCCCGTGTAGCCTTTAACAGACTGTAGGGGCAAGTACTGTTAGCGAGTAGCACCTATGAAGGCCGGCACGGCACATGAGGCGGTGGGTGGCCAGAACCACGCCTGACCGCCTTTGTCTCCCCAGTGGCGATGTTTCCGCACAAGGTACTTATTTGAGGCTGAGTCGATCTAGGGGAGGCCCCAAGACCGGTTCAGATAATTGTCACTGATAGATAGATCCTTTATTGGTGTTGGCCTTGAGCGGGAATTGAACTCGGGTGACGAGGTTCGAAGCGCAGCGCGCTCACCGCAACATTACAGCTCCTCTTGTATACATAGCTCTTCATAGCTTGCCGTGCCAATAACGTCGGAGTGTTTGGGCCCTTTTGAGCAATTGTCACAAAGAACGCAGAGCGGAATGTTAATTACTAAGTGAGTTGACGTGCTCGCGTGGACAGCTTTTTGGGGAGGCGTGGGGCACATGTCAGATGAGGCTCCCCTCTGACGTCCCCTTGGAACCCTGTCTTGCGTGGCTACGTGGCGGGGTGTCGGAGCGGTGGTGTATCGGTAAGCGTGCTGCGCAATGAACCCGGCGACCCGAGTTCGATTCCCATGCACGGTCAACACCAGGGACGATTATTTTGAACCGGTCCTGGGCCTCCCCCTAGGTCGGCTCGGTCTCAAATGAGCACCTGGTGTGATGTGTAAACCTCACGACTGGTGAAACAAAGGCGGCCTGGCGTGGTGTTACCGTGCCGACCTTCATAGGCGCTCACTAACAGCACTTGCCCTCCTAGTCTGTTAAAGGCGATATGGGGGGAATCTTTGTGCGTGGTGTTTCTCTCTCAACGAGTGAACTGTTCGCCCTTGTACCTCTGATCGCCGATATTGCACAAGCTCGTCGTCATTGGCATGCACTGCATGTTGCTGCATTGCCCTCTGCTGCCCGCCGCGGACCCACCTCACAGCAGCCTGCAACGCATGCCTGGTGAGTGGTGCTCGCATATCGGTAGCAAGCAAGCAGGCTCAAACCTGCCAAGCCTGCTTAGCTTCTCAAACCCGGGGAGACCGGGCGTGATTTGATCATCAGAGGAACGCTCCGCGCTTAAGTTCAGCCGGAACAGCAGGAATCTTGTTTCGGGAATTATTTTGACACGTCACATCCATCGCGCCTCATCCTTCTGTACGTTGAACTTCTTTCGCACCCTGTATGTAGTTAGCCAACCGCGCTAATGATATGAATATGTTCCTGTGAACATGTTCATATGATTAAAGTATCGTACTATAATATATGATTATTGTGAATAGGCGTATTTGGTACTCGAGCGAACGAGCATTATTTATACGTGATGTTGTATATACTGTTTGCGCAAATTGCGTCTCGTAATCGCCGAGGAACCCCAGACGCGAGCTGGCGGACAGCAGCAGTAGCCAGGCAGCGATGAGCCGGCGCTACCAACAATTGCCCAAGCTCCGCGGCCCTCTACGTACATTAAGCTGTGTTCATGCACTTGTCGAGGGGTTTATGTGCGCGTGAGAACACCCATGGAGCCTTTCGCAGATAATCCTGACGACTCCAAATCCGGTCTGGCAGCGTGAGCGAGAACGGATTCCCTGAGCACGCGACGTATTAGTGAGAAATAACGATGCATTCGCTGTGATGTTGGGGCTTGAACAAAATAAGGAAGGGAGGGGGATGAGGTCGGGGTTGAGGGGGCAGAAGCAGCAATTGGACGACGGCACGGGGCCTCTCGGCTCGCCGCCTCTGACGATGCTGCGTAATGCAGCTGATTAATTCATGAGCGTTGATGCACCGAGCCATCAAATCGCGTGGACGCGTCGCCCCCCCCCCCCCCCAAACACCAAACACAAATGGCAGCGTGTCTCAATCGAGCATGCATCACCTGCTTCGTCACCACCACCATCAACACCACCACGATTACCCACACTTTACCAACGCTGGAGGGACTCGCCGGGCCAGCCTCGCTCCCATTACGTCATGGCAGCTCCCCCCTCTCTCTCTCTCTCCCCCTCTCGCTCGCTCTCTTCCTCAGACACGCTCACGATCGGCGCGACCGGGAAATCTGCGGGGTGCACGGTGCCCAGGGGCAGGGGGAGAGTGACGGAGGCAGAAAGGGAGAGAGAGAGAAAGCGGGGATAGACGCACCCGCAGCCCCATTCACTTCATTCCCAAGGAATAAAATAATAATTAAGCGCCTCCCCGCGTCTCCCCCGCCCCCCTGCATCCCCCGCTGCCACCCCACGCCGACGAGAACAGCTCCCTTCTGCCTTCTCTCCGCTCTCCCTGCTCTCCCTGCTCCCGCTCTCTGCCGCCCCGCATCCTCTACGCCCTGCGACAGCTGCTGTAGGAAGGGGCGCGTCACCTCGGAAAGATGGGGCGCGCGCGCTGCGCTCTATCGCGCAGGCATGGCCCCGTCGGGGAAACGTGGAATGGGCGCGAAGGCGAGGAGAACCTGTAGCCGCTGCTTGGACTCGCCCCTTGCTATAAGAAGAGGAAGCAGGAGGAGGAGGTTTGGATGTCGTTCTGTGACACGGGATGCTGATCCCGCATTAGCGCCTCCTCTGTCGAGCGAGGTTCTCAGATCTCGCGCGGCTGCTCACTCGCGCTGTCCCGGGTGCTGCTCCCCTGGGATCCGCTGGGCGCTGCTGGGCGCCGCTCGGAGCTACTGACAGTCGCCGGGGAGCCGCTGTGGGGGGAGGCGCGCGGGGTGGTGCCACCATGGGGAGCGCCAGTAGCGCCGAGGTGACCGTAAGCGGCAGCGGGAGCCCCGATACGCGCAGCCTGCACGGGACGCCGCCGCGACGCCTGCCCGTGCCCAGCCCCGAGGACCTGGAGGCGCGGTTCTCCGCTGTGCTGGTGAGGCCGTCGCGTGGCGGAGGAGCAACGATCGAGCAGGGAGTGGTGGTGGTGGGGGGTTAGGAGAGGGGGGTGGTCAGCGTAGGCCCGCGTGTCGCGTGCGATGGTGGCGCAAGTGACACGGCAAAGTAGAAAGTCAGAGCGTGCGACTGACTGCATGACGTTGTATTGGGATGTGCGCGTCTGCGTGTGGTTACGCGCGTGTGGTATTGTCGATCGGTTGGTTTGTCTTTGTGGGTGTCTACGGGTTACGTATTTGCGTGTCGGGGTTTATGCGCTTGTGAGGGTGAATGCATTCGAACGGCATTATATTTTCATCAGCTGGGTAACGCTGTGTGGAAGCTACCTGGTCTATCGCTCCGACGAAGCTCCAGTTTCTTCTCGGCCACAGTTATGCCATGCCTTGTTTGTATGCTTTCGATACGTGGAGTCCTTTTCAAGGGACATCTACGCCAGTCTGAAACATTCAGGCTGGCCTGCCTACGATCCGTACATATGCATTCATCCTAGTTTCCACCAGGTTGGATTGTGAAGAGCTCACAGATTTTTAAAAGTTCAGGACACAGTCCTCTCAGTGAGCACCTCCGGCAGGCGGAGGCTGCGTTGGCTGGATCATGTAGCCCGCATGCCCAAGCGGGCTTCTGTTTGGCCGGATAGAGGCGGCTAAACGGGCGCGACACGGGATAGAGAGCGGGGATCGGCTGATGCGGTACAGGAGGATCTGGAGCTAAACAGACTTGCAGATGACCGGTGCCAGCGATCTCGAGATTAGCCTCTGTGGAGGCGGTTTGTGAAGGATGTTACAAGGCAGTTGGAGGAAGTCGCCCTCCAACAACAACGGAGCGTGGAGGAGCGGCGCTCACAACAAAGAGCGGTGTGCCGGGCGCATAAAATACTGCAAGTCGGCACAGTGGGAGCACAGGTGGTGTATCTCAAAGTGCACCTAGCCTGGTACAAGCGCGAAAGTGACCTTGCCGCTTCTTAGTGACAAATAGCGGCTGTCGGTACGGGTTTAGGCGTGTTTGGGTGTCTCTGCTCGTTCTCCGATTAATCACAGTGTGTGTGTGTGTGTGTGCGGAGCAGTAGCAATACGAATCCGACAATCTGAGTTCGATTCCCGGCCACGGCTAACATCAGTGGCGAGTGGTATAAAAACCGGCCCTTGCGTTCCCCTAGATGGACTCGGCGTAGGTAACTCAAGCCGCCGCACGAACAGATGCAATAATGCGTTGGTGTACTACCCTCTCTTTCGAGTACGACTCCACAACATCTGATATTCCCACACAGGAAGTCTCCTGTATTCACGTCAGAACCGGGCTCCCACCCACCCACCACTGCTCGCGAAACTCGTAAGCTGTCAAAATGTGACGACACGTGTATATTTACAGAAGGTATTTGTGTACCTAGGGTCACTTGAAGATGAGGCTCATCCTGGTCTCTCGGGATCTCACCTGGTTGACAAGATAAACGTGACGGTGTGGGTGGGTGTCACTGAACAAGTGTGTGTGTGTTAGAGACTTTGCAGGTGTGTTTCTCTGTGGGTGTCTATGTGTGCACTGGATTGTGTCTCTCTCGGTTGAGTGTGTGGCCGTGTATATTTTTGGGAGTAGCGGGGGCGTTGTGTGCGTTTGTATATATTCCCGTCGATGCTTGTGTCTTTGTTTTTGTGGGGAGCGGTTGTGTAGCGGTTAGCGCTACAAACCCGGCGTCGCGAGTTCGATTCCCGCTCACGGTCGACACCACTGGCGATTATCTGAACTGGTCCTGGACCTCCCTTACGTCGACTCGGCCTCAAATGAGTACCTGGTGCGATGCGTAAATATCACCACGAGGAAGACAAAGGCGGCCGGGCGTGGTGTTGACCACGCACCCACCCCCTCGTGTGCTGTGCCGGCCTCCATGGCACACTTCCTCAACAGTCTGTTAATGCGATACAGACGATATTCGTCTTTGTGTGCACCATTATGCGTGTGGGGAGCTGTGGCACTGTGATTAGCGCACTGCACTAGGCACCGGGCGAACCCAATTCAATTCCGATTCACAATGAATCAGGGCGACTCTGCCTTAACTGAGCACCTGGTGTGGTGTGTGGTACACATGAGTACTGGGGTGACAAAGGCGGTCGGGCGTAGTGCTGGCCACCCACCCCACTCACGTGCCGTTGGCGGCCTTCATAGGTGCTGGCTAACAGCGAGTGCATTGTCTGTGGAGAGAAAAACATATTCACGGCGCGAAGCTGCGAGCGAATGTGCTACCACATCCCGCTCATCGCGTCCCAGTCTCATCGTCGCTGTTGTTGTTTCTGCGTTCTCACAACCACAACGCGATGCCGCTGAAGGGGAGATACTTCGCTGGAGCACAGCGCTCACTCGCTGCGGCGCGGATTGACATCGCGAGGAGCGTGGCACGTGGCAGGATGAGCGGCGAACTCGCGAAGAAGTCAACTTCGTCGCGTCGAGGTGTCGATAAAAAGTCAAAGGCCACCCGACCCCGCGTATAGACCGCTACTGTGTTCACGCACCACAGATTCCCCCATTGTAAAGTCGCGGGGTAACTAGCCGAGCGGCATCATCCGTGCAACAAATCAAAAGACTGTAAACTTAAAGACTTTAAGTTTGGCCGTTGAATAAAAGTGCTGTGAGCGAGTAAATATTGAGGTTGACTCAGCTTTAAAGTAAATAAATATCTACACTGGCCACACCACCTACTCGTGCACTGCTGATCCGACATGAATACGGGCTCTCTCGCAAAACTTGCCCCAGCAGTCTATTAGGTTATAGGTGGTGTGTTTGTCTCATACGTGGGTATGAGACACGCACAGGCGCACACACACGAGCCGGTTAGAGAGACGCCAGTCAATTGACGTTCTGTCGACTAATATTTTAAACGTCGTTGTAGTAATCGCTTTCAAACGACAAATACATCTTTAGCAGACTGACGTTTCGGGCAATGGGCCTTCAGAACACTGAAAAATGGCAACGTTGATGAGGTTTTATTTATTTGTGCCTGTACACCGATGTCAACACAGTCTCGTGTGGCTTATGTAACGGTTTGACAAGACCAAGATAAATTGTCCAGGACAAAAGCGTGGCTGGCTGTTATTATTTTGACTGATATGCGCTGAGTCTAAGCGGCGTGTGAGCGCTGGACGCACAGATCCGATGTCTGCGGGCTACCAGGACAGTCAAGATACCTTGGTCCTGAACGGAGAGGCATACAGAGAAACACACAGACATACAGAGAGACACACACAAACAAAGGACAAAGATCCCCCGCATAGCCTTAACAGACTGTTGGGGCAAATTCAGTTCGCGAGCACCTATGGAGGTCGGCACAGCACACGAGGGGGTGGGTGGCCAGCACCACGCCCGGTCGCCTTTGTCTCCCGAGTGGTGATGTTTACACACCGCACCAGATGCTCATTTGAAACTGAATCGACCTTTGGGAGGATTCGGACTGGTTCAAAAAATCGTCACCGGTGTTGGCTGTGAGCGGGAATCGAACTTGGGTTGCTGAGTCTGAAGCGCAGCTTGCTAACTGCTACACTACCGTTCCCCCCACGCCACACAAAGCACACATTGACAGACTGAGACACACAGAAATACAGAAACACATAGAAAGACACAAAGAACACACAGACAGAATGATACACGCAGAGAGAGAAACACAGCAACAGAGAGAAAAAAAAAACAGACACGCACATAAACAGGCACAGAGACACGGATAGAGAGAGAGAGCCACTAAGATAGGCAGGCATCAAGGTACAGAGAGACACAGACACACGCAGAGACACTTGGGAACCCAGATCCCGTGCAGATTCCCTTGTGGCACACGCGTACAGATGCCACGTCCGAGCTCCTGTACGTAAGACGCTCCAAGCAGGACCGGCCTTTTCCGCCACCCCATCGCACCTCGTACCCCGAGATTTAACGCGGCGACACTGCATAAAGCGGCTCTGCCGACGGGGGTGAGGAATGGTGGAGCTCTAGCAATGTGCACAAGAAACGGGTGGGGGGGGGAGGGGAGGAGGGCTCCATCATGAGCGTGAGTGTCACAAGCTGCTTGCCCGCTCCTCACGATCCATAACGAACCTCCACTCGCCATCCGATCCGGGGCTGAGCGCGCGGCTGTGCTGAGCGCGCGGGCGCCGTCCCTGTCACCATGACGAAGTTTATATCCTTAGTTCTTTCGGTAAAGTCACGTTGAAGGGAAGCAACAAAATAATAAAATATATATAAAAAACAATAAAAAAAATTCTCAAGACGTTTCGACCATAACACAAACGGTCGTTTGTGACTGCAGTGATTCGGTCGTTTGTGTTATGGTCGAAACGTCTTGAGAATTTTTTATTGTTTTATATATTTTTTATTATTTTGTTGTTTCCCTTCAACGTGACTTTACCGAAAGAACTAAGAATATGAATTACTGCAGTCACGAAAGCTTTAAATCAAAATTTATGACGAAGTTTGTTTACGCATTGACATCGTCACTGAGTCTCATGCCTTGATTGCAGGAGGGGGTCCTGCCAAGTTGTCGGGGTAGGCGGGCGATGATTACTACGTATCGTACAATCCATTTGAGAAAATTGCGGGTGATGTTTTAATTTTTTTGGGCAATATTTGGTCCATGACGCCAGGATGTGCTACTCTTCCGAATAACGTCACGGGATCGTTAACCTCCACCGTGGAGCATGCGGCGCGGAGTATTATATATTTTTTTACAGCTGACACACCCGCGGTATTAATCAGGGCCGCGGCTGGATTCGAACCGCAACAACGCGGTACCACTGGGCCACGTTTCGTTCGCACGGAAGGAGGGTAAAGCGGTCACAGGGCAACTCCACGGGGTATCGCCGACACGGGGGTCACGTGTCCACTGCACGCACGCACGCCGCTGCCAACGCCACTGCGGTTCACGGTGTCCCCAGCGTGCGTGCTCTGTGGGGTGAGAATTGGCCGTGCGATGCGATTTTAGAGAATTGCGTGGGAATGCAAATATGC